CTCCCCCACTGCATGATACGACACCACTGCTTGGATAGCAATGGAGGTGGTTGTCATCAAGGCACCGAAAAAGAATGCTGAAAATTTATTGTAGAAGGGAAAGATCTGCCTCCCAACTTCAACCACCCACCATAGCTATAATTTCCTTTGCTGGGATCCCTTTTCTTGATCAATCTCTCTTTCAAGCGCTCTAATCAACAGGGAGACAGTTGGAAAGAACGTATCCTCATTTAAGGCCCCAACTAAATTTGAGTCCAATTAATTGAAGGCTCTGAATTCTTAACCCTGAACCATCCAATTCGCACCATTGACACTTCGTGTTTGCATGGACCCATGTTCTCATATAGAAATAAATAACAGAGCTCCATTCCTTCCGCAGGTGGCTTCTGGCTTCTTGTAATTAAAGAGCACGCCACATTGTTGGTATCTATAGAGGCGAAAGGCATTAATATGTCCACTATTAGGTAGGTAAAGCAAAAGACTACAGAAATCACATGATCCATCTTTAGAGCTTAAGTGGGCTTAATTTGAAAAATGATAGCATGAGTTGAAAGACAGAACTACCATTCACAAAGAGATCACAAATATATAAGCTACATCTTATACTCAGTCGGTAGAAGCTGCTAAGTGCTAAGCCTGTGAACCTTTGAGAAAATGGTTGCTCCTTCCACATATTTCTCTTTTGTAGTTTTCTTTTTCTGCTCTTCGAATTTTGCTTTTAACTCTGCAGTTCAGACCACTAGTCCCTTCAAGAAAATCTACGCCTTTGGTGATTCCTTTACAGACACCGGCAACACTAGGTCAGCGTCAGGTCCTACTGGTTTTGGCCATGTCTCAAGCCGTCCATATGGCAGCACCTTCTTTCACCACCCCACCAACCGATACTCTGATGGGCGGCTTGTGATTGACTTTGTAACTGAAACATTGTCCTTACCATACTTGCCACCCTACCGAGGACACAAGGGCAATGCACCTCATGGAGTCAACTTTGCTTTTGCTGGCTCCACAGCAATAAATCATGCTTTCTTTGTGAAGAACAACCTTACCCTTGACATGACTCCTCAATCTATTCAAACTCAAATGAATTGGTTTAACAAGTTCTTGGAGAGTCAGGGCTGTAAAGGGACAGTGTCATCAAGCCCTGAGTGCAAGGCAGTATTTGATGACGCATTGATCTGGGTTGGTGAAATCGGAGTCAATGACTATGCATATACTGTCGGATCTTCCGTATCAAGTGACACAATTAGGAAGCTTGCGATCAGCAGCGTCACCGGATTCCTACAGGTAATAACTGAATTCTCATTCTTCTACATGGCAACAACTACTCCATTTTAATTACTAACGAGCAAGATCAATTCAGTGATGGTGATATCATTTCTGCAACTCAACTTGATTTTATGAATTGCAGACATTGCTGAAGAAAGGTGTGAAACATGTTGTTGTTCAAGGTTTGCCTCCAACAGGATGCTTGCCATTGGCCATGGTCCTGGCTTCTGAAGACGACAGAGATGATTTAGGCTGCGTGAAGAGCGCAAACAATCAATCCTACACCCATAATGTTGTTTACCAAAAGACAGTGCAGGATCTCAGGAACCAGTTCCCTGATGCTGTAATTGCTTATCTCGATTACTGGAATGCCTACGCCGCGGTTATGAAGAATCCGAAGAAGTACGGGTTCGAAGAGCCATTCATGGCATGCTGTGGATCAGGAGGTCCACCCTACAATTTTGAAGTGTTTTCAACATGTGGCACATCTCAGGCAAGTGTTTGCTCAAACCCTTCTCAGTACATTAACTGGGATGGAGTTCATCTCACCGAAGCCATGTATAAGGCGCTCAGTCACATGTTTATGAGTGGAACATTCAGTCATCCTCCATTTGGGTCCTTGATGGACAGGAAACAGCATGTGTGAATTGTTCTCCTTCTAACCAGCCCCAGTAACGGTGTTTATGAATTATGAGATACTTCTCGGAGTCTTTGATGTTCTTTCAATAATTTTAGGCATATGTGAACTTGAGTTGCACATGTTATTGAGCAAGGTTTCTTCGAGATTCACAGGGGTAGCCAGACTCTTGACTGGATGGAGATAAAAGAAATAAATGATGATAATTTACGATATTTGAAACTCTTGGGATTGAAATTTCGAGCTAGGAATCCTTTTAAGATATTATTTAGAATTCCAAATATAATTCAGTTCATAAAAAAGAAAGTAATACTCCACGAATCTTCTTGATGCATTCAATTACCTTATTCTATGCCAGCTGTTCACGTTGAGCAATCTGCCTCTCGAAGAAAATACACCGTAAAAATTCCGTTCTCTCCGGGCAGCCCAACCCCACCAGCTATAGGCATGCATTCAATGCTATAAAAGAAAGCTGAATTGATGTTTGCTACAGAGAATGTTATTGATCATGGAACTTATTGCCAGAGCTTTTGCTGAATCTCCTTCAGTAAATATCAATGTACATTCTTCAGAGTACCTCCCTCCAGCCTCGTTAGCATCCTTGAACTCCGGAACATTAACCCTTTGTTGTCTTTGTTCTATCAGTTTTCTTAAGGCGCCGCTGATAGAGACAACTGTAATAAATCCAAAAAACAGTCTTAATGGGTTAAAAAAACCCTCATGGCCCATGTCGATTTAGTTTATGGATACGGACACTCTTTAATTATTTCGGACAAAATAGTTAAGATTATCGATTTAATTTATTTTCACATATATTTCAAATAATATAATTCAATATAATTATATGATTTAATATTTTATTACAAACATAAAAATTATAATAAGTTATTAATTCAATTTGATTTTAAAAATTATTCATCCAAATGCCAACTTGAACAAAGTTGGTTATAGGCTTATAGCATCAGAACACTGCTCAATAATGGCACAGTTGCTACACTATGAACTGGCAACTGATTAAGAAGTAATATTTCCATATTTCATCGGCATTGAAATTTTTTTATTTTAAATTAATTGTTTGTAATGATTTTGGATTGTTATATATGATATATTGATATTAAAAATAATTTTTTTAAATAAAAAATATTTTTTTAAATAATTTTTTTAAACGCAGTATAAGAAAAGGAGGAGCCACTCATTTACTACAAGATTCAGAATAAAACATGGTAATACGATTAGTTGCTTTCATTAGTCTTCATTTTACATCCCAACTGATTTTAAAGCAATCCTTCTCTTTAATCCTCTTTAAATTTGAGACTCCCATCTCCATGATTTGCCAGTAGATTGTGACCTCCAACTTCCCAACTACTTCCTCGATGGGTTGACTTCTGGGCTTAAAGATCATAAAGCATGCACAGCAGCACATTCTGGCTCAACAATTTTTCACATTTTTACCTTTAAACACAACAAAATGAGTCATCTCGATCACAAAGTAAAATATCAGCCAGAATGGAAGTTTTTAAACCCTACTTGGTTTAAGGTTCTGGTTTTGACTGGATCAATTTTATTTTATTTTTTAAAATCAAAATGATATTAATTTATTAAAAGAAAAAGTTAAAGTATTGCAATCGAGTTTTTGACCGGATCTTGCCAAGTCGACCTGTCAGGTTAGTCGGGTCACCCTGGATTTTAACTTTTTTTATTTTTTTAAACCTAACCCGGTTTTTATTCCGGATCGACCTATTGAACAGGGCTGAATTCCAAAACTATGGCCAGAATACTACCCTTTTCTCGATACCTTGCATCCTTTTGCCCTCTCCTCTAGTCCTTTGTATCTTCATAGCTTTCCTCTCAGAACATGCTAAGATCCTATTGGATGTGACAGCAGCACATACACACTCTATCTTAACATTGGGGATCTCTGGCATGAATAAAATTCACAAGACACTTCTCCTTATCAACTTCTATGACTCGGAAATTAACGTGGATAACCTGAGTGGTTGATTGTGCTGGACTAACATTTTCAGCTTTCATCTACAGCTAAACCTTCAGCAATAAGCTGCAAAGGAGAAACTCAATGGCTTTAACATTTTGACTAAGAAAAACTCATAAATGGTATTTACAGATAGAGTTTTGGAACTCTGTATGTAAAGCAGGTAGATAAGGAAGAAAAACAAAGCGTGCGTTTCGGTATCTGAAACTGGCATCAGTGCAAGAGTTCTGCTCATATATACCTACCAGATCATAACCATATTTCCCTTGTACCAGTGAATAGAGCAGGAAATCATACCATGTGTGAGAATGCCTCTAAGCTGTCTGACATTTTCCACACACTATGACCTTCCCTTCCTATAGATTATCTACTAACATAAACTGAAACTTCAAATATCAAGTTGACTTCAGTAAAGCAATCAATACAAGGCTGATAACAGAGTGGAGATTTTTTTTGCATACATCTACTGAGAAGATGTAGACTAGCAGCTCCAAACTACTTGTTCATGATTGCTATTATGCGTGCGATACCAGGAAACCATGGTATTATATTGTTTAATTTGTGCTGGCATCATTTGCATGGAGAGTTTTACAAATTCAAGCCTGGCATGGACAACATGAGAGAATGCTACACAATCATCAACTCAATAAGGAAGCACAGAAACAAGTTTCTTCATGTATCTAATGATTCACCTGTCAACTTAACTGTAATAGAGGAATTCTAATTGAATGCAGGTAGAAGAAAACTGTGAACTAGCATGAAATTTACTCCTAATAATTATATTAAAAATTAAAACGTCCATATCGTTTGAAAGATAAAGATCTGAAGATTTCTCGTGGCACAACAAAATGCTGGACTGGCTTTTATTCTTCAGCATATCAATCCCAAAAATCAGTCCAAAAATCAAAGTCAACTCATGATCGTGATACTGTAAGAAATCTCCCTATTCTTCAGCATATCAATCCCAAAAATCAGTCCAAAAATCAAAGTCAACTCATGATCGTGATACTGTAAGAAATCTCCCAAGAAATAAGCTCCTCAGAAAAATGGAGGCAGATTTCACAGTTCAAAATATCCCCATGTTCCTTTCGCTTTCCTGCCACATACTCAACAAGAAAAAAATTGTGCTGGAAAAATTCCAGATTCGATAGAATAACTGGGCTTTCTTCCATTGAGCGTGTTCATTATTCTGAACAATCAATCTGTTAATTTTCAATGCGGAAACCTCACCATAATTTATTTCCATGTGATGGCATGATATTTTTTCTCTAAATTTGACGTCATTCTTCTTGTCTATCATATTAGACTAGGTACTCATAATACATCAGGAACAGATCATCCGGGATATCCTTCGGCAAGTTCTTTATATAAAGATAGAACCTAAATATATCTTCCTTTGACACGGTGTTAATGTCAACAACATCAATACTGCAAGTGAGAACCCACAAGTCTTCTGAATTCACTCTCTTCAGACTTCCTCGGCAAAATGGGCAAGATGCTGACCTTGTGTTCCTACAAGGAATGGGCGTAAAATGTCAAACCTACGCACCTTTTCCACTATTACTTGTAAATGATGGAAAATATTGGAATTTAAGAGATAAAAGTGAAGCTTTAAAAATCACGTACCAGTCACGGTAGCAGTTGATGCACATTGCATGGCAGCAGCTTGGCACAACCATTTTAGTGCAAGGTTCCAAGCAGATCCCACATTCATCTTCCCTCAGCAGTTCCACATCTGAAAGCTTCCTCCTATCTTCCAGTCTATTCTTCACGATCATTTCCAAACAGTGACCTTCTTCCCGACTCATATCTGGTTCCATTGTATCACCATGAAGACGCTGAAGTGATGGTAATATAACAGCTGCAATTTGAGCAAGCCAGGACTTGAAATTGTTAAACTAAGCACAAGAACCAAAATATTCAGCCAACATAGGATACCATATCCTATTCAGGATTTGGCAAGCAATCTTGGAAGCACAGTTCATTACTTAAAAACATACAATGGTGTTCAAGAATGGATGCTGATACAGTTGTTAACTTCCTTAATCATTATAGGCAAAAAAACAGAAATACGCTGAATGTTGTGTAAAGCAATATCTGCAAGAAACTCCATCTTTACCATGTCTGTGCATGTTATTGACAGTCATTATATAGATACGAAAACTATCGAGGATTTTTTTTCTTTTACACACCATAGAATTGCCGGATGGTTGCTTTCCGTCTGCATGAAGAAATCTTCTGCTTCCTGTCTGAACATACCTAAAAATGGAATTAATTACTTAGCACACCAAATTTTAAGAACTGTGGTTTGATTCTTCAAAAGAAAACAAAAGATTTAAACCATCTAATTTGAAAGAGTAAAGCATAACAAGCAGGAAAACAGCCAACCAACCTTGTATACAACAACGTCAAAAAGGTTCAAATAAGTTGAAAGTAGACATGTACATGAGCAATCCATCCATTGGAGTAAAAACAGAAAAATGGGTGTCAAGTGGTTATAAACCAGTTTCATTTGAAGACAGGAACCACATTTGGCTCTTGGAATAGAAGCTGCCCTGCAAATATCAACCCTCAAGTAAATTCACACGCGAATGAACCTCAAAGAAGTAGTATTATAGAATTAGCAGTTCAGAATTCATTATGCCCGACAATGCTACAAAATCCATAAAAAATATAGCAACTAAACTAAACTGTTAGCATAAACAAGGCTAACTCTGCAAGCTGCACCCACAACACAGCAGAAACTCCGGATTTTCTAAAATGAACGCTTGCCCTTCAAAATGCAAAATACATAAAAACAGAGGAAATTGCACCTTTCTGGTATGCAAGCTGGATAAACTTCAAGCACAAACCAGAACTAAGAATGGACTATGAACAAGCCATAATTGCCCAAATGAGTATTTAGTCAAAAGAAAACCTTAAAATGAATGACTTGCTTATGTGATGATGAAAATCAAAATGAAAACTAAGCCATGAGAACTAGAGATTAAATTGTTGATTATAAACCAAGGGACTTCCACAAAATCCACATTAGTCATGCAATTTTTCTGGTTCTCCTTCAACAACAAAAGGATAGAGTTATAACACAGAGACCAAATTTCGAAACTTTTCACAAAACTTCAACAGCAGCAAAATATAAACAGCAAAGAAAAACAAGAACCCAAAAAAACTAGAAACACAGAGAGAAGACTCACAGCACATTAGCGTGCTGGATATCTGCCTTAAGAACCTTAAGGGTGTCTTGGTAAGATGACATAGCAGGAAGCTCATGATAATCCATCATCTCTCTTACTTGCTTATGGTCTAAATTTACTTAAATAAACTTTTCTAAATTAGGGAAAAAAAAATATTACAAGAAAGAAATGATCAAGGAAAGGAAAATGCAGTTTTTCTTGCTTGTTGAACAAAAATCAAAGAAACAAGAGGAAAAATTCTTGAAGTCTAAGGTCTAGAAGAAGGGTTGAGAAGGAAAGCGTATGAGGCAACTTGGTCATGAAAATTACCACATTGCGCCTACTTAACATGAGAGATTTTTGAAATTGTTTTCAAGATTTTCAGTTGATTATTTTATTTTGATGAACAGTTAAGATTAATGGTTTGACTTTAGTTCTTGGAGTTAGATTGTCTTTTGGGGGTGCAGGCGGACAACTATAAGCAGGTGATTACTTCCTCCAATCAAGAACCATCTTTTTTGGTCAAAGGATTTGGGATAAAAAATTATGTATCTGATCTTAATTAATTCTTCAGGATCATTGAGCTGGATGGAGCTTAAGCATTTTTGCCAATTTTAAGTTTTAACCCTCGACGGGCTGTGCCATTGCCAAGGCTAATAGCCTGTGTACAGGGATATTTTTATTTTGCTTCTTGGAGGGGAAATATGGATTAGTACTAGTCAAAATTGTTGAACAGAAGAGAAAGAAACAAAAGTCAATCTTCAAATGCACCCAAAAACAGAGGGAGGGGGGCGAAGACTTTTTGACTTGTAAACGGATTAACAAAACAAAACAACCTTATTTATTAAGGCAGGACTGCAGTCATGGCGTGTTTGGAATAACGATAACAATTGTTTTTATTTAAAAATATATTAAAATAATATATATATATATATAATTATTTTTAATATATAAAAATAATAGTTTTAAGCAAAATAAAATTTAGTTTTTGTGAAACTTGTGAAACTTTGTTTGGATTGGCCTTAACGTTATAGAACTCGACTTTTCCAAGGTAAAGCAAAAAAAGAGTATTTCCTCGTCTCATAAATATATAATACGTGAAAACATTAATTAATCCATTAATTAACATGTATTTTTTTATTAACTTATTAATTAATATTTTTTTAAAACTATATTTGTTTTTCATAAAGTGGTTTTTAGGAAATCACTTTTTAAATTTTTTTATATTTGTTTGTTATTAGAAAAATCGGTCAACGAAAAATATTTTTTAATCAAAAAAATTTAACTTAGTTTCTATAAAAATGTTTTTCTAAAAAATTTAGGAGAAAAATACATTCCGGAAATTATAAAAAATTTAGAAATATCATATTATTTGTTGATTATATCAAGTTTGGTCCTCAAATTTTTGATTTATATATATATATATATATATTGTTTTGAATATTTATTATTCAATTTCATCTCTTAAAATTTAATTTTTATATTAATTTTGATCTTTATTTTTATAATTGTTATTTGCTTTTTCCTTATCATTTTTTTATTGAAATTTTTTATCTATCAAATTTGATCCTCATTTTTTTGATTGTTACGTATTTTATTTAAAATAATTTATGAAATGTTAATATTATTATTTTAATTTCTTCATCTTTTATTTTTTAGATTTGATCTTTATTATTTTAATTATTATTTATTTTATTTGAGATAATTTATAAAATTATTTTTTTTTTCAATTTCATTCTCATTTAACCTTTTAATTTGTAAGATTTGTTCCTCGTTATTTTAATAAATTTAAGAAAATAAAATATTAGTAAGTTATTTTCCAACTTATTTTTCATAACATAATCAAATATTGGAAAGTGTTTTTCAACTTATTTTCCCTTATACTACCAAATATTAGAAAATAATTAACTTTTCTAAAATTTATTTTTTTAGAATTTACTTAAAAAAATTATTTTCCAGCAAATAAATAGGACCTAAATTTAAATAGTAAATATTCATTAAACATTAAAGAATATAATAGGAAATCCAATCCTTATAAAATATCGATTTTCAAATGGCCTGAAAATTAGCAGAAGTTTCATTTTTATATCTTTATGCTCCAAGACAAGATTTATCTATTTGATCATAAATGTTTAAGAAAAGAAAATTTACTAGCTTCTGAAAACTGGTTGGAAAGTTGGGCCTCCTTTGCCAGCAGCAAGCAAATGAGCTATCGGCTCTTTAGGCCTGTAGACTGCTACCATCCATCATCAGACTGACAGAGTCATTGAAAACTAGAAGATCCATCTTCTAATTAGACATTGACTGGAAACCCACTTCTAGTTCTGATCCCCTTCTTCCTCGATGCTTCTGTACTGGATGGCCATTAGGCTAAACTAAATGGTTCATTTTGTCTGTTACAACTCATGGGTACTGAGTAATAAATATACCAAATAATTCTCCTACTAGGATGTGAATAGGATGGCAGGAGGCAGCAGAGCACGTAAAGGGAAGTCCATATCCATGATAAGAGTGCATGTGAAAGGCTAGATTATTCTGTGAGGGAAATCAGAAGGAAGGGGCTGAAAATAACACTCGAAATTTCACCACTGAAGATGGTCCATGCCTCATAGAAGATAAGGTTTCAACGAGCCAGAATAGTGTCAAGTATCTCTAGCTTTCCTGGTGTATAGGTTGAAGAATGATGTGGGAAAAGCCAAGATGGGCACAAAAAGTACTTCAACTAACAAAGACGGGAATAGAACAGAGAAGTTTGTTTCTAAAGCAGAATGCATTGAAGAATCAAAGGACATGATCAATGGAGATTTAGTGAAGAAAGAGAAAGAATATTGAGGAACCGTAGTTGACTTGTCTAACTTGGAATTGTCAAAAAATAACCTGGGAAATCAAGGAAGCAACAACATTTCAGCTGCTAACAAGAAGTGTTCTCATCATGCCTGCTAGACAATTATATAAATGCCTCACCTAAGAGCTTAAGCTTTACCTCCCTTAAATCCCAAAAAGAAGATGACTTCGGTAATAAAGAGTCACTATATGAAAGGTTACAAAGTCCTGTTTTGAAAAGAACAGGGGGAATAATTATTTTGATAAGAGGATCAAGTTGGTAGCTGTTTCTGATAAAAATTATGGTGAGAACCACTTCATTGGGCTTATGTTCTGCTTGGTTAATTCCTTTTCATTCTATTTTGCCAGTTTATGGCCATAAAGTAACTACGTGTGGCATCCTGGAAAAAAGAAAGGAAAAAGAAAACCAATCTCATGTAAATGTCTTTACAAAACAAGTACAAGAACAGATATGCAAGGCACTTTTTTAACTTTTGCTCGAGTGTATGATGGCCAGTGATGAAATGCAGGGGAGAAGCGAAAGGTAATCAAAATAAAGCAACGTGAGAGTCCATATTCGCCAACAGGAGGCCGTGATGAAGCTTACGAAGTGCTGAAACTTGAAAATCCTGATGTAGATACTCATCCTTGAACAACTGCTGCCAACAGTGAACTTTATCTTGTATGTTATTCATTAGCCTCACGAGTTTGGGTATTGTCTCCTTCATCACTGCTATTTCTTTCTCCAAATCTGATTTTGCTCCGTAAATTTATTCTCTCAGTATTATGATTACATCATATGTTTTGCCTTCTGTAATTTTTCTGAACCCTGCTACCCTGCCTGAGTTGCCCACATTGTTTTGTAAATTTTTTCTTGGTATTTAGATTCTTGTTGGATTTCAGTTTCTACATGCATCAAATTGATGTAAAGGGTGTCTGATGACATAGGTTGGATCAATCTAACATTTTCGTCTTCTGAAAGGCAAAGGTGCTCATATTCCTTCGACATCTGTGCAGGAGTTGCCATCATCTCCTATTGGCACAAGAAGGAAAGGAAGATCGTTGTTCTCAGGTATCCTGATATGAGAGACTGGCCAGTACTCTGCCAAGAAACATCTGGATCAAAAACTTTGATGTGTGGATTGGAAGCTTTCAGCAAGGTCAACAACATTCAGCCAGGAGATGAATGTATCTTTGGAGTTGAGGATGTAGAAGAGGCTATATTTGTTTGGAAATTAAATGGGAATAATTAGAAAAATTAAATGCAATCTAGATTTTTTCATTATTAAATCTGCAATTAAAAGCAATAATTAAAATAATTAAAAATAAAAATAAATATGAGAAATAGTAAAGGTCTAGAAGAAACATGTGAATGTGATTTATCACACATTAATGTTATTTTTATAGATAAACGCTTTCTCTGCATAATTTTTTTTTTTAAATATAAATCGTTATTCTTCTAAAATTTAATAATCCATTAGAATTCTTGAATGCAACAAAAATTCTCCAAACATTTTAATCATTTTTTTACTCTTTTTAGTTAATAAAATATAAAAAATAAAGTATAGTAAATCTTGAGAGAAATATATATAATGAAGATTTTTAAATATGTGTAGAGATATAAGATAGGCTAAGTAAAATGGAAAAATATTTGTTTATTTTTTTTTTAAATTTTATGGTGAGATTGACATGCTTTCCATCCTAAGCACATGCCACACACGATTGCCAATTATATTTTAAACAAATAAATATAGTAAATTAATTTAATTATAGATATTAGTCCAATAACCGATTAAATATTAATTATATTAACATTAACCGTTTAAATCTTATACAATATTGTTAAAATTTTATACTAAAATCAAAATCTAACCTTACATAAATCATATCATATAATAAATTGATTTGATCATAGACCTTAGATAACTAAAATAATTAATTATTAATTATATTAAATTTAACCATTTAAATCTTATACAATACCTTAAAATTCTAAACAATTAAATTAATAAAACTTATTAAAAAGAATGAATATCATGAATTATAATTTTAAATCAAGATTCTAACAATATTTATTTATTGCATGTTTGGAATCAAATTACATTTGGAATTATAATTAAATTTAATTACACTGTTTGGAATATATTTGAAATATATGTAGAATTAAATGGAATTAACAAACTTAACTATTTTGCTTTTAATTCAATTTTTTTTGGTTAAAAATACATTTCTCTTTGTTAATGTGAAAATGCAATCCATAAATTATTTTATAATAAATCAGATGCATCGTATAATAAAAACAAGAAAGACAACAAACAACATTACACAAAAAACATTAGAAAAAAATGATGATTATTAACCACAATATCATATTATTTTTTTAATAATAAAGATATTCTCATACCAATAATTTTCACACAATAAAACTATTTCATGTACTCTTAAATAAGCTATTCACCATTAAAATTAAATATATATTTATAAAAATTGTTATATTTCAATACCACTCAAGAAACACACATTTGTAAATCCACAGTGGTAGTAGACTAACGATGTACTCTCCTTAAACACCAATTAAGAAACTGTCTTTCATTTCCATGGTTTCTCTTCTCTCTTTCTTTGTTTTTTACACCATCTTCGCTATCACAGAGACAAACCGGGGAATACCCAACAAAACAATAATGTAATGAAATAATATGATGAAGGCAATTTTCTTGATAAAAAAAACCCAAAGCTTTTGTTGAAGAAAAGAAATAGACAGTAAAAAGTTGTAGGGTTTTTGAGAGAGAAGAAAAAAAAAATATTTTTGCCCATTGTAATTGAATTTAATTCTAAGAGTTACAAATAATATCTCAGGGCTTGCATTGTTCGTAGCTAATATGTATAACATTCTCGAAGTTTGTTGTTCGATGTTGGTGCCATTTTAGAATTTACAGAACTTAAATGCCCATAATTTATTTATTTATTTTGTTATGAACTGATTTTCCATGTTCCGAGACACTATAGACTTGTATCACGTTCAGCAGAGTACTTGATGTTAGGACTAGGAGGCAGGAGCCATGTTCCTCTCTCTTTCTTTGGTTTGATTATCATGATTTGTTTGTTCTTCCTTTGAGGCATGATATGTATTACAGAAGATTTTTTTTTAAAAAAAAGGTTTTTTTGTCTTTAAACTATGCTTGTCTACATGCCAAAAAAATTATGCTTGGTTAACACTGTTGAAACTGAAAATCATCGTCAATGTGTCGAGAAGTGGAGGAAACATACACACGTTAAGAAAACTGGACAGATACATTGCTATAACCTTAAATAACCTCAATTGCAAGATCTGCACCAGCTGTGGCAGACACTTGATTTCGCTCTTTCACTACCATTCCCCTCATCTTGATCAACCACGCCATCAACCTCACAATATAATCATACAAGCTAAGAGCAATGTACATTCCGATGCCACCAACAATCCCATTTGCTATAGAGTAAGTCAGTGGCATCAGAAGCATGGTAATAAAAGCAGGCACTGCTTCCTTGATGTTCTCCCAGTCGATATCCTTCACCACCTTCATCATCATGACTCCGACCATCACCAGTGATGGTCCGATAGCCCAAGGAGGTACGCTAGTTAACAGAGGAGTAAAAAACAGTGATACAAGAAAACACAAGCCAACAGTCACGGCAGTCAGTCCTGTTCTACCCCCTTCCCTGATCCCGGCAGATGACTCGACATATGTTGCAGTTGTTGTGACTCCCAGTGTAGATCCCACAATTGTAGACCCTGCATCTACAAGGAATGCCATGTACTGCCCTTCAAAACTTCCCTTTTCGTTCACAAACCCTCCAATTTCAGCCATTGTGTACAAAATGCCAGTGGTGCCTAGCATGTCTACATAGAATAAGGTTAGAAAAGCCAACCAGGCACCACTTGTGTTGAAACTAGTGAAACTTATAGCCCCAGCTGTGGATTGGATTTTGTGAAAATCCACCACTTTCTTGAAGTACTTGTAATTGTTGTCACCAAGTAGGGTTTGTGGAAAGTATGTCACAGCAGTTCCTCTAATCCATGATGTTAATGTGACAAAAAGAATGCCATAAATCATGCTGCCTTTGATTTCCTTCATTAACCCATAACATGTGATTAATAACCCAACTGAGCCAAGCCAAAATGTTGGGCTCCGCATTTTGCCGGAAATGCATTCCCCAGTCACCGGATTTGTGCTCGAACATGCTGTCACCGTCACCAACGTGGACTGATCAGGCCCGACAAGGCCCACGCCTTGATGGATTTGCAAGCCGACGAAAGCTATGAAAAGCCCTATACCAGCTGCGCAGGAGAGCCGGATCGGTTTTGGTACGATCCTAGCGAACTTTTCTCTAAGCCCAAGAGCAGAAACTATGAAGAAGGCACAACCCTCAACCAGGACAATTGCCATAGCAGTCTTGTATGAAATAGGCCCCGAACCGTGAAACCCTACCATATTATAAGCCACAAAAGCATTAGGACCCATACCCGGGGCCAAGCCGAAAGGCAAATTTGCTAAAATTCCCATGGCAAATGACCCTATCATGGCTGATAAAACAGTAGCTGCAATAAGGTCATTCTTGGTTTTATCAAGACAGCTTTGATACCCTTCATTGGGTTTAAGCATGCAGTCTGGACCAGCCGTTTGGTTCACCGGAGCAGAGCAGTCAGCAACGGAGCAGGTACCACCGGAGTCGGCTAGAATGGTTGCGTTAACAGTGATGATATAAGCCATGGTGAGGAAAGTGGCGGTGCCAGCACGTAGTTCTTTAGTGAAAGTGCTCTTTCTTGCATCTAGCTTGAAGTATTTGCCAACCTTTGTCTTTGAGACTGCATCATTCAGACCTTTCTCCATGTTTTTCCATGAACTTGACAGTCGTGGACATAGCCCCTCTCCCATTTTTTTCTCTTCCTCTCTCTAGCGCTCTAGCTCGTGATGTATATGACGAGTACTATATATATGCGATGTAGGGATGATGTATGCTGGTAGTGTGTGGGTGATGGGGTTATATGGAGAAATCAAGGAATCCTTGTAAGATATCAGAGGACTGATCAGTACTGTGGGTGATGAAAGGGATGATGATTTGCCTGATTTAGGGGATATGAGTTACAAGAAAGAAGTAATAGTTTTAGCCTTTAGGTCTCGCCTAAAGAAATTGTGTAGTTTGGATTAATAATCTTAAAATTATATATATATATATATATATATATGTTTGGGATATGCATGGGGACTACTTTGTCTTGCCATATTATATATTAGGGATTTGGTTGTAGGAGAACCATATATAGAAATCACAAGCAATATGCAAGCAAGATTCCTTTTTTGACTGATTAATTTTCCTTTTTCTCCCTTAAATATTACATAGCAAAATACTAGTCAATGTTTAGGAATGCATGTAAAAAATGTTTTTCAAAAATTTATTTTTATAAATTTATTTTTTTATGTTAGATTGTTTTGATGTGCTGATTTAAAAAATTTTAAAATTTATTTTGATATATTTCAATATAAAAATACTTTAAAAAATAATCACAACCATACTTTTAAATATAATTAAATCCTTTAAATATGCATTTCTCAAATATTAAATATCTAGCTATATTTGTCAATTAATAATGTCAAATTATACCTATTAAAAGGTAACCTATAGATAAGATAGGTAGATGGATAAGTACTACTATATATATATATATATATATGGTTTTTTTTGGAAATAAATATTTTTTAAAAATTTTATGTTTTGAATTTATTTTGAATTTTTTTATTTAGAATAATTAATGTTTCCAGGGAATAATTTTTCATTTTTCATTTTTCTTTTCAATATTAATAGTTTTTTTTTATATAAAGGATTGTAATAGCTTTTTAGCAATTAATATTTTAATAAATAAAAATTAAATATTTTAGGTATTTCTTCATAGTTATAATATTCTTAGTCCTTCAAAATTTTAACATCTAACAAACTCTTTTATCATTTGCTCCTTTTATCTCGGTTAATATCAAAGTTTAATGATTTTGATGGGTTTTTTTATGTATTATTAAATCATCATATTTAGAGATTGCAGATGCCATGTATTAGAGTTGAATGAATTCTAATTATTTATTGCTATTGAAAATCTTAATGGTAAAATCTAAGATAAAATAAAATAAAATAAAATTTGAATTTATTAGGAGGCGGTCTATGCATAAAAAAACATTGCATTAGATATTTTCATGGTGAAGAAAGATTTCTAACCAAGAAGTATCTATTTCATGAATAATTTGAACTCAAAGAAAAGTTCATTCTAGTCTAGGAAGATTGATACAATAGTTTTTTTCTCAGGCTTTTTTAATTTACCTATTTGAATATTTTTATTATTCTTTATAGAGTTAGTTTTTTTCTGTATAAAAAATTGTAATTAGTATTTGGCACGTATGTAAAACTTGGAAAAACAAAAATTAAATATTTGAATATTGTATCTGGATGGATTGATGAGATAAGTCCGAGCATTTGGTATGCGTGCAAGCCAGGACTCCACTGCTGCACGCATTGAAGCTTTAATAAGAGACGTTCTTAAGATAATCAAATTATTTTCGGTATCCAATGTCTTAAGACAAAATTTAATGAATTAGACCCACTAGATTCGACAACCATGCACTATATAGAATTCTGGGAAATTATTATTTCTGTAGTCCCAACTTCGAAATCTTTGGAAGATCTATTATACTTTTACAGTCATGACTGATCATAGAGATCGGTCTTCCTTAGTTTTTTTTTTAAGCAAAAAAAGACCAAATTCCACCAAAATGGTATCTGGAAACGCTTAGCATCCATGCGTGGTGCTCGTTACTGTGTATTTGGTAATAATATAATTGAGTTTAAAAATACTAAATTGATACCTTTTGTACTTCCAATCGTATTTTACTACAAACACCAAATGAGTCTTTAATCCATTTATAACAATAAGCGTGGGTCCTAAAATATTAATATGTTTTTCTAAAAATTTTATCTTTGATAGCTACCAGATAGTTGTCTTGTTCTCCCACATGATCAAGCAAAATCTTCTTCTAAAATAAATAAAAAATATTCTTGAAGTGTTATCAAGCAATAATTATTGACTCAAAATGTAATATATATTTAACAAAATAGATTGAGGATTATATGAGTTAATATACACTTAAAAAGATATTAGTAATTACAAAAATTAAATTATGATGTTGAGAAAGAGATGCATATAAAAATATCTGATTATATGGGAGGTTCTTTAATTTTGTTAACTTAATTGTATAGAATTAATATTTTTTATAAGAAAGAAAAATAATTTTTGTGTGTGTATAGGCTTCTACAACGGCAAAAAATAAATTTAACTTAATAGATTAAGTTATTAGGTGAAGTTTCAAGATATAATTTATATTATTTTCTAATATATATTTTCAAGTTAAACTTGAAATTTGTATTTGTTTATATTATTTTGTTTTTAATTTTTATTAAATAAATAAAAATAATAAGATTTAAACTTGTAATCGTTTAATTATCAATACTTTTATACCATGTTTAAAAATCAATTTAATTTAATAACAGTATTATATAAAATCTCAAAATATAATTTATATCATTAAAAAAAGAAAAATTGTTCCATAAACCACAAGATACCGTGGTCACCCGCTGATTAATCTCAAGCCTTTCTTAACTATAAAAGAAAAGGAAAGAATAATTCAATTGCAATGTGCTTGCTCTGCTCGTGTCCCTTTCGCAACCCTAGCTACCATATAGAAATATGCACGCATGCACATCTTTTGATTTGATCAAAAACTTTGGTTCATCTTGTTACTCGCAAGATTCCACCTTAGCAAATTAAATCTTAAGAAATTAGCGAGCTAGGGCCTTAAATCTTATTAATTTATACTAGAAGAAGAAGTTGATTAATTAATTTAGCCATGGTGGTCGGCCTTCTTATCAGAATGTTGTAGTGTGACAGGCTCGCCGTCATGAGGGCATTTTCCTTAAAGAAGATTACACTTTAGGTTTAAAAAATCCGTATGCTCCTGCTTTCAACTGTGAATCTGGATCACTGTACTTGCATTATAATATATTCAGATCAGTAACCTTTAAACCCTAGGGGGGGTGTAGAATTTTATTTTTTTTCTTCGGAGTTCCAAGCGTGAAGATAATGCAAATTCTTTAATGGAACTTCAGGGGCTGCAGTGGGTTCTTCTTTTTAGAGAGAAGCCGGTACTAAAAGTAAGTATATTCAAAGAGGAAATTACAAAAAAAAAACAAAAGGAAACTGCATGTTGGTGTTAAATTTTGTCATTACTTAGAGAGTTAAAAAGACGAACTAAGCATTTGCAGCAGCAGTTATACCATTGTTTTGTTATTTTTTGTTTTTTATACTCTGAATTAATTTTTTCAAGTTTTTATACTAAAAGATAATATTTTTTTTATCATACCAACACTCTCGACACAAGTAAAATAGGAAAGGGGATGAACGTGGCATTGCCAGCACCGGTAGGCTAAAGTGGTAGAAGAGAGGCTCTTCTTTTCAAGGGTTTTCTCCACCATCATTTCACCCACTTTTGCTGTATCTGGGATTGTGGTGGTGCACATGCTATAGCTAATAGCCTCCCATATTTTCCAGTCAAAGGAGCGACGTGGAATTGCTAGGAAGCCCTGTGGGTTGATGCCGGTTTTGTGCCCGAGTAGACTATGTAAATATTCACCTCTAGGCGCACAGAAGTTAATGCTAAGAAATGAGTCCCGTTCCATCGCAGCCTCGTTCGAGCTGCACGCATTCCTCATAATTAAGTCATTGTTGGCCGTTTCTGAGTTAAAAAAGAGAGGCCTTGGTGTCAGGAAGGAGCAGGGAGGTTGCAGTTTTCGTTTGATTCAAGTGGTAATTAATATATCATGATTAAAGATTTGGAGTAGATTCTATGATGCATCACATGATTGGATTCTAGCCTAGGAGAATACCTAAGCTCCATAATTCGCGTAATTCTAGACTGACGCAAATTTAATCAATTCATTAGGTGAGTGTCCTTGACTGATAAAGACAAACCATTCAAGTTTCCTCATGGTTTCCAAGCTTTGCCGGTGTTCCGCTACATGACAAGGCAGAATCCGATCTACAACAACACTGGAATTGCTGTGAAGTGGCCAGCTCAGAGCATCAAGATAGGTTTGAGTTTCGCAAACTCCTCCCCCAAGAACACTGGAGAAAAAATGGCAGCTTCTTTCAAGTTGATTTTTTGTAGATGCAAGAGAATAATCTAAAAGAAACCAGATACAGATGGCGGTAAAAATCATAACTGAAATTTGAGCTCTCAAAAAATATATAATTATCCAATATAATAAAAGGCATGATTGCAATGGAATGAGATTAATTTTTCCATGAAATATATTTGATATTAAAAATTAATTAAAAATAAAATAGTCAATTCAGATTTTATTAGAGCATAACAAAGCTATCAGGTCCCAAGTATTAGGGCATGAAATGGCCGTCAGACACCTAGTTCTAATGGCAACCATAACTGTTAAATCCTAGACCTCTATGTTAAGTAAAATAACTAAACTCAAGGCTCTGGGATCTAATATCCGGATCTAGAGCTCTTGGGTCAAGTATCAGGATCCAAGGCTCTTAGGTTTGGTGTCCCATGAGTCTTGAAATATTTTTATTTTTATTATTAATATAATAATTAATAAATTTTAAAAAATATTATTAATATTAAAAAAAATCATGAATTTGATTTTAAAGGTAAAATTAAAAATTATTATTATCATTATTAATAAATTTTTTAAAAACATATAATTACTATGGAAGAAAAACTGTAAATTTAATTTAAATTGATTAAAAACTATAAGAACTTGGGTTTGATAAGTTTAATATTATTATTATTCTCATTATCATTAATAACTTTTAAAAAATATATTATTACTATCAAATAAAATTATATAAATTTTATTTGGAAAGATTAAAAATTATAAAAACCTGGATAAGATAAGTTTAATAATATTATTATTATATACATTACTATTATTACTATAATAAAATATTGATTTGATTTGAAAAGTAAAATCAATTATAATAGTTATTGTTATTTTTTTTATTATTAAGTTGGATCTGACATCCCTTTCCAGACCAAAGTAACTTGGGACTGGAAAGGAGCACCATACT